GAATTATGGTGTTGGTGAAGAACATTGAATATACATACCATGGACAGCCAGAAGAATTAACAAGTTTGTCTTCGAAGTACAATAGGAGTGCTCCTTAGAAACAAGAATGGCCAGACTTCATCTCTTATACTCTGGACGTGTTATTAGGAGGGACCAGTCCCTGGAGAAGGACATCATGCTTGGTAAGTAGAGAGTCAGTGAAAAAGGGAAAACTCCCAGTGAGATGGACTGACACAGTGGCTGCAACGATGGGCTCAAACGTACCGACAGCTCAGAGGTTGGCACAGGACCGGGCAGTGTCCGTTCTGTTGTCCATTGGGTCATTATGAGTGGGAACTCACTCAGTGGCACCTAACAATATCTCACAGGGGGTCTGGTCAGGAAGGTCAGGCATGTGCCTGGACCATGATGAAAATGCCTGAGTGATGGGTTGGAAAATCCAGGCTTGAGCAGAGAGGGCTTAGGGCTTCCGTGGAACAAGGGCTTCAAACTGTTTGATGCCAGTTCTGTGCCCCGCTGAGAATGTATGTATTCTCACACAATCAGAATACGCATTTTAACAGGCTCCCCTGCTGATTCTTATGTCTGCTTAAGATTCTTATATTTTCGAGTCCTGTGTGAAATCAAAGAGCACAGGGGGGCTGTCATGTGATCAAAATGATGCTTCCCAAAAGCCCGCTGGCTTAAGTGCTACCATGTGGAAATGAGTTCACAAAACTTCGTTTCAGGCATTGGATGTGCTCTTTAAAGGAGAGGAACCCCTTTTATCCATGTTTATACCAAGAAGTTTGCCTGGCATTTAGCTCCTTACTCTCAGCAACACAAGTCTCCAAACTGGATCCTTCGTCATGCACTGAATTGTCATGGTTGTTGTTAATGAGGCAGGACTGTCCTTAGGTTCACCAGGTAATAGCCAGATGCCCAGTTCATTGAAAAAGACAAAGTTATTTCCATTTTCTTCCTTTGAGTGAGAATCTCACACTCTGTTTCCTGACAGCCCCACATGATTCTGACTGGGAATCATGTTAACCTGATAAATGCCTCTTGGTCCACAGACACTGAAGTTGCACTTTCAAATCGCCCTTGTTCTCTCTCATTGAACATGACATTGAAGGGACCTGCTTTTGTCAGCAGGCCTGCTCTGTTCCCTGTGTGGAAGAACCAAGTCATCTTTCCTCCTCTTGGAAGCTTATCCACCGTAACACACTCCATACTGGCAGCAGAAGATAATGCATCGAATGCTGATATTCCTGGTTCCTCAACTGACAGGCTTTCTGCTCGGTGGGAAACAAAGAGAAGAGGAAGAAGGTGCTTGAGCCCGTGACTCACCGTTGTGTATTGAGCAGAGACCATGGACAGATTCTCATCTTCCGTGCTGGAGACCCGAGTTTGAGTCTCGGCCCAGGTACTGCGTGCCCTGCCACCACCTGTTGGTCGGTGGAGGTTTGTGTGTTGGCTGTACTGCTGGCCAGGTTTCAGCAGAGCTTCCAGACTAAGAGAGACGAGCAACAAAGGCCTGACAGCCTACCTCGAAAAATCAACCTCTAAGAATCCTCTTGCTCACAGCGATCTGATCCACATCCAGTCAGGGTAGTGGTGCAGGACCAGGCAGTGGGGTCACCATGAGTTGGGGCATTTTGAAGCCACCCAGCAGTTCCACTGAGCATGGAAACTCAGCTGGGTACAAATACAGATGCAATGCTTGAGTCAAAGGATGGGCCCAGTGAGGATGCTGTAATGCATCAGTCAACTGTCAAGGAGATGAGGGGCACACCTCCAGCCTCCAAGAGAGGTGAGATGTAGAGTCAGAGCAGAAGTTCAATAGATGTTGGAGCAGAACCCTGGAAATTAAGGACAGTCTGCTTCCATTTTGAACACTGACTTGGAAAACTAATATAATACAATATAAAACACTAATATAAATGCCAGCCACAGCTCAATAATGTGGGCTGTTACATTATTACTACTTTGATTGTATTAGCTTTGCAGTTCCATAGAGTTACACTTGACCCATGGTAACATGTTGGAGAGGTGCAAGCCCACAGAGCATGTTTACTGAAAGAACACCACCACGTTGCGAAGCTTTTCTGGAAGGCCTCCAGAGCGTGGCCTTGGTCCTTTCGATTCAGTGTTTCTATCAGTCACGTGAACAATGACATAGAAGCACACCTATCAAGTTGACACAGTGGGTGGGCTCATTGATGCAGTCAAAAAGATGAAGATCTCAAAATACTAGTGCAGTGGACGAAAGTTAGTATGTTCCAGAATATTTGCTGTACAAAAATCGACATGACTTTACTATAAGGGAACAAGTCATCAGGATTTTAATGAAACCTTCATCTCTGCTTCCTCGTTCTGTCTTTGACATCTAGTGTAACCTGGAGGTGGTGTTTAAAATGTCTATTTATAATGAGTTAGGGAAAAAACATATATTTGGCCTGAACAGAGTTAAGGAAATTTCAGAAGCAACATGAAAAAGTTAAAGAAATGTCTAAATAAGTTTAAGAAGAGACTTAAATAGGTCTGTACCTCTTCTTCCCAGTATTCATAAGAATTAGTGTTGTTAATTGAACACTTACTGTGTGCACACACTGTGCTTTACATATATAACATATAACATCAGCAGTTTTCATAGGCTGATGGACATCAATGGAGTCCTTAGGTGGTGCTATCAGTTAACATGCGTAGCTGCTAACCAAAAGCTTGGCTGTTGGAGTCCATGCAGAAGTACCTTGGAAGAAAGTTCTGGGAATCAAATTGTAAAAATTCAGCCACTGAAAACCCTATGGTACAGGTCAACTCTGAAACATATGGGGTCATCAAGAGTCAGAGTCAACTCAACAACTAGTCTGGTTCTGTATATATATATGTGTGTGTGTGTGTGTGTGTGTGTATAGAGAGAGAGAGCAATTTATCTTTAGGAGTTGGATAATCTGTGATTAGGGGACAGGATGTTGTTGTTGTTTGCTGTCGAGTCGGCCCCGACTCATAGCGACCCCTCCTTGGGTTTTCGAGGCAGTATCACTACAGAAGTAGGATTGCCCAACCTTCCTTCCGAGGAGTGGCTGGTGGGTTTGAACCGCCAGCCTTCTGGTTAGCAGTCAAGTGCTTTTAGCCACTATACTACCAGAGCTCCTAGGGGACAGGATAGAGGTCCCTATAGTCTTGTGTCCCAAAATCCATAGGTCAGGTGACAGGGAGAGTGAACAATAAGGGAGTGGAAGGGAAATGTTGATTTGTAGTCTGGAGATAGAGTACATCCTAAGGAAAACTCCCTTTTTGCTCTTACGGCCTTCAGGTTACTGGTTGAGACCCACCCCCATTAAGGAGGATAATTTGCTTTACTTAAGGCCAATTGATTTAATCCCAGGGAACTAGTTCATAACAGAGTCTGGACTGGTGTTTGGCCAGACAGCTGGACACCATAGCCTAGCCACGTTGACCTATAAAATTAACCAACACAAGCGCTTAACCTGGAACCCAAGAGATGAGATTCTTTGGGTCCGTGAATATCCTGAAATCATTTGCAAAAAAAAAAAAAAAAAAAGGTTGTTCTGGTTACCTAGTGCCACTCTAACAAGAATATACCATAAATGGGATGACCTTAATAAACCAGAGTTTATTCTCTTAAGGTTTGGAGGCTTTAAGTCCAAGTTCAAAATGCCAGGCTCTAGGGGCTGGGTGAAAGCCCCTACCTTGGGGTCCAGCTCTGCCTACTGCTCCCGGCCCACTGGAGCTAGAGGCATTTCTTCACTCAGACAGATGCTAGCTGCTGAGGCTGACAAACACAAGGTCGACAAATAAAAAGGCACAGTACCAATGTTACGAAACCACATGGCAGGCCATTAATGTAAGTCCATTGTAAGTCCCAAGTTTGGCAGAACATGGCAGGCTGGTGAACAATGACATGGCTACATGCAGGTCCAAGTGTGCCATAAGCCATTCCCCAAGGCTTCTGCTCATATACAGGAAGCAGACCACATTCCCTAAGGCAGCTACTCAGCTGCTCCCAGTAGATTCCACCGTGGAGTTGATAACCTGTCTCATCATGGGGAATACTACATCCAGCTGCCCAGCCACTTAACCAGGCCCAGCCAAGTTGACACACAAACTGAACTACCACAGTGGTTCATGTTCATTTTTCTGGGAGGAGAGTCCAAGCGTATCAAAAAAGTCTCAAAGTGGTCTGTAACCAGCCTCCCCACACACACACTCCGGAAAAGTATAAGAACCACTGAAGAAGAGACAACAAAGGTGAACTCCAAAGCTGAGACTTGGTCAACTAAAGTGTTGATTGTGGCATTGACCTTTGGTAGAATTGGGGCAGCAGTATAGAGCCAGAATTACTGTAGGGAATAACATGTTTGCAGTTGGATGTGTTGGACCCCAGCCCTCAGCCCTCCATAGAAGCACTCTGACCAGGTTGGACTTTGGCAATGATAACATTGGTGCATATTGATATGAGAAACAGCCTAAGCTGCCCACTGTGGTGCCGTTGAATAGGCTGCATTACAGGGCCACCAGCTCTGTGTGGTCCGTGGAGTGAGTTTCTCTGATCGGTTACAGAATTTTCCTGAAGGGCTCGTTTGTGCTTACCTAACAGTTACCGTATATTGAGTGACTGATCACAACTTCCCTCTTTTCATCAATGACTGGAGGATGTATAGACAAATGTGAGTGTTACCTACTGGCCAAGACTCTGGTTTCTGCTTTCCGAATAAACCCTCTCCTGATTTCATTGCACTTGTATATTTATTTTCCCTTTATTGCATTTTAAAAATACATAATTTAATTGATGTTGTCTTGCTATACTATATACATTTCTGTAACCCTCCTTCAGGTTCTTTTTGAAACAAAGTACATACATAAACAATTCAGTATCAAAGAAATGCACCAAGAGGAAATGGTAGCCCATCCAGCCCTTTACTTTTTTGGAGCATCTTTTTATTTTTATTTTTGCAACATCCTGACTCTTGTTTTTGTTTTTATTTTCCCTTTAGTCAATTAAAGAGGATTCAGTCCCTACAGGTTCAGAGGCAAATGTAAGTTATGTGTTAAATGACAGACTCATTCCACCTTCATCTTCAGCATGTTGGGCCAGTGGTGTTTCCAGCTCTGGGGTCCTGTGTACTTGCATGAGCCAAGTGCTATCCATCTGCGATAGACTCTTTCATCCTTTCACGTGATTTGGGATCACTAGGGAATGACATTGGGTGAATACTTGTAACTCCCAGTGTTGTTCGGTGTCACCAAGTCAGTTTTCAACTTGTCGTGACCTCATGTGGCAAAGGAGAACCATAGGGTTTCCTGTGCCGTAATCTTTATGGGAAGAGATCGCCAGGTCTTTCTTCTGCAGAGCCACTGGGTGGGTTTGAACTGCTAACCTTTCAGTTAACAGCTGAGCACTTAACCGTTGCACCATTGGATCAGTGAAAAATAAATGCAGAATCAGAGCATTTAATAATTTGTTATCACTGAGGGCCTGAAAGAGTCTATGAAATTTAAGAACAGCTTTGCACTTCCTGCAAGACAATGATGGCACATCCTCTCCTTCATTGTACCTTGATTGCTCCTGCATCATTATTTCCATGGCAACCCTTATTCTCTACTAACTTTGGGTGGTACCCAGGGCAGGCAGTTGCTCCAGGCAGGAGGACCTCTTGCTGCAATCGATGCCCAGGCTGTTGGTCCCAAGCCCCAAGTTAGAGAGATGACAATGATAGGTCTGTATACCTGAGACAGATAAGCTGAGCCTCACTGTCCTTTTGGTTTTGGACCTTCTACGAGGATGATCTGAAATTTCAAGAAAGGATGTTTATATGTGACAGAGATGGCCCCATACGAAAACTCAACAAAAATTGTATCTTTCAAAAATATCTTCCAGGGAGATTAAAAGCTTGCCCTTGTGAGTTTCAGACCCAAAGCAGCAGCCCTCTGCCCTGAGTACAGTCTCTGGGGAAAAAAAAAAAAAAAAAAAAAATTGTGTGTGTGTGTGTGTGTATATATATATATATGTGTGTGTGGAAATAAGTGAATTCACAGCTCTTCAAGATAGAAATTGATCGTCATCATGTTGCCAAAGCAAAATGTGGTTTAGCTTTTTCTGAGTGTTTCTTGTTGACTTGGTGATGGATGAAGGTTTGTGTTTTCATTTTTATCCCTCTCAAACTGAACGGATGTTGGAAATCCAAACATGTTCCAGAAATGCTGTCCAGCTTGTGGGATAGAAATTAAAACAGAGGTGTTGGGTCATGATTCCTTGCAGGGGAGACATCTTTGCAATCGGCTTTTTTATTGCTATTGTTGTTATTACCTTTTTATTTTTTAAAAAAATTGGGGGCATAATTGGATCTCAAACCTAGGAGCTCAGCAAAGCAAGGTCTCTCTTAACTGCAGAATGTTCTCATGAATTTGCTAGCTATTTTCTAGAGACTCAAAGGCTCTAGTTATTTCAGCAGCCCGCAGTGAGGGACTCTGTGAGTCTCCTGCAGATTAAATCCAGAGCCTCAGTGAGCGTGCAGGTCCTGAATTTCCTGAAGAAAGGCTCCCCTTTGGCTGTTCACACAACGCCAGCTCTCCTGCAGCCCCCTTGCTGCAAGACAGAGGGGATTTCTAGCAGCAGACAGAAGGTGTTTCATTTCCAGTGTGAATTGAAAGCAGAGACAGCAGCATGAACTGGGACTGAAGTTGTTGATACCAAAAGATAACCCAGAGCTGATAAGGATACATACGGCAGATAGAAAAGTCTTTTTTAAGGAAAATAATGAAGCATTCCAATAAATGCTTTAATTGCCCAGCCCTCCCAAGGATGCTTCTGTTTTTGAGTTACGGCATTTCCTCTTCTAACAGCTTACCCCTTGGATGGATTGGGGCTAAAAAGTGCTGGTCTGGGTCCCACCCTGTCCAGGCTGGGCCGCCCCTCAGGCCTCAGTTTCCTCATCTGTTAATGGCCACACGTGCCCGCCCCTTAGGGCTGTGTAAGAATTCAGTGAGACAATGCTTGTAGTGCTCAGGTCAGTGCCTGAAGCAGAGTGAGAACCCACTCAGAAGCAGGCAGCCCGCAGCCACATCTGCCCCCTGCACACCTGTTTCGATGGATCCCATGGTGAAGAATGGATTTTACATTTTTAAATGGTTGGGGGTAGTTGAAAGAATATTTCATGACACGTAAAAATTATATAAAATTCGAACATCAGTGTCCATAAGTAGTTTTTATTAGGACACAGCTACGCGCATTCCTTTGCATAGTGTCCATGCCTGTGCTCAGGCTCAGATGGCGCAGATGAATAATTGCAACAGAGACTGCTGGGCGGGGCCGCCTGCAGGACCCGTCTGCTGACCCCATCGGTGATTGTCAGCAAGCAGGAGCACGTTACCAGTGAGTGCTTCCTGGTACGCAGAGACTTGCCTTGTAAAATTGTACAGCTCACAGCGGGCCCAGCACCCACATGGACAGGAGACAGATCTTAGGTTTCTTTTTCCATCCTTCTCTCAAAAAAAGAGAGGTTAGTCAAACCAGTGTACGGTCTCTCACCATTCAGAACAGGACAGTTGGGTGTGCTGAAGCGTATGACGGGGCATGGTTGTGGTTCAGTGGTAGAACTCTCACCTTTTGTGCATGAGACAGGAGTTCGATTTCCGGCCAGCACACTTTAAGCACAGCCACTACCCTGACTGTCAGTGGAGGCTTGTCTGATGCTCTGATGCTGAGCAGGTTTCAGGGAAGCTTCCAGACTAAGACTAGAAATAAAGACCTGGAGATCGACTCCAGAAAAGTCAGCCGGTGCAAACCCCATAGCTGACAGGCAGCCGGTCTTGCTGTGCCTGGAGTCATGGGAGTCAGGGGCTGACCCGAGGCAGCTGATAGCAACGGCCACAAGCATATTGCAGGCGTTCTTTAGTGAGTGCTTATAGCTTAATTAGGGTTGAGTTTATTTTACTTCATTTCTCTACCTGCAATTTTCCAACACACACCCAGCAACCAATGCAAGATCCACCCGTATTTACAGAGTAAGAATGACATAAACTTCGAGGCAACTAAGTATAACCCTTTACTGAAATGTATATTGCCTCTGTTCAAGCCATTTTCATGCTGTGTACACCGTGGTGGTGGTGGTGCTGGTGTTAGGTGCCGTCAAGTCAGCTCCGACTCATTGCGACCCTGTGGAGAACAGAACGAAACACTTCCGGCCCTGTGCCAGCTTTATACCATATCCCCTATTAAAATGAAGCCGTGGGGATTTGATTCCAAAATATGGCACAGAGCTGGTTTTCATAGCGTCCGTCACACCCAGGATTAAAATGTGCAGATGCAGTAATGTGTTCTTAACGAGGCACAAAGCTCTAGCCTGGAAGGAAGTTGGAAAATGAGCCAAATAAAAATGGAATTCATATGTCTGTATATGCAAATCAGATCCACACTTCACCCAAGTCGTTCCGGGTTTTCCACTCTGGATGCCAGAGGAATTTCCTTGGCTGCTAAAAGCCGGTTCCTCAGCCTGACTGCAAAGCCAATGTGAGTTTCTAGAAGTCCCAGTTTTGGCCTACTGAAATAGTTGTGTTTTAGAGACTGGACTGGTGGCCTAGGATGTATGAGTTGATGCTTCTTGACATTAGGGAGGGCCCAGGAAGGCAACCTTTGGCATTCAAATAATGTTGAATTGCAAAGCAAAGGCCATAAAATGCCACCGTTTTGTTATAGGAGTAATTTTTCCTCCAGCGCAGAGGAGCCGACTTCAGGGACAGAATACTTGAGAACCGAGGGTCAGGCAGACCCTGTTGTTCACGACCTACCTGAGGCCATTGGCCACCTTCCTCACTCCGTCTTCCCTGGATCTCATGCAAAGATGGCAACCACCACACCTTGAGTATTTGATGGTGATTGGTGTAAACCAGCAACCCTGTCACTTCGCCAAGGAACAAGGGTAGGGACCTAGTTCTGGCAGATGAAACGTGCCCTGACTTGGAGGATCAAAACTGGGAAGTGGATGTGGAGCAAATTGTTTCTAAGGCCTTCCTTCCTTCCTTCTTAGGACATGGGGTTGGAACCACAGCAGCTATTTTATGACTCTGAGGTAATACATCAAAAAATGAGAATCCAGTATGTCAAAGACGACTGGGCCAAGTAAGAGAAAGAGCCAGGGTTCCGGGAGACGCTGTGGGGCCACTGAACAGCTCCGGGACTTCCTCGTTGCTATGTGTTCCATGTTTTCATGGATTAAGCCACCATGAGATAGTCAGTTATTGGCAACCAATTCCATCCTCACTGAAATGGTTACTTACCTGTGGCCAGTTGTTCATCCATTCAGATTCTTCATCTGTATGTGGATGAAGTTATTGACCTGAGCTGTCTTTGTAACTCTTTATTGAGTTACTATATAAAGCATGGGAGCTCTGGTAGCATAGTGCCTAAGGCATTGACTGCTAACCAGAAGGCTGGCGGTTCAAACCCACCAGCCACTCCTCGGAAGGAAGGTTGGCCAATCTACTTCCGTAGTGATACCGCCTCAGAACCCAAAGAGGGGTCGCTATGAGTCGGGGCTGACTCAATGGCACATAACAACAACAATATAAAGAATATGTTATATGAACAGAGGGTCTGTTCACCAAGTAACTGCCAAATGGTTGTACTGTATTACTTTCAGGAAAAAAAAAAAAAATGTAGTCGCCTGAGTTCAAGGTCTCTTGAATTTAAATTAATAGAGAAGACAAACTGTCAAGCAAATTATGTAACAACTAACAACAGTGCAGTTTCTGGACATGAAATTAATATTTAAATAACTTATTTTCCCCCACTGCTGTTCTTAAGGGAGCTCTGGTGGCGTAGTCCCTAAGGCATTTGACTGCTAACCGGAAGGCTGGTGGTTTAAACCCACCAGCCACTCCTCGGAAGGAAGGTTGGGAAATCTACTTCTGTAATGATACCACCTCAGAAACCCAAGGAGGAGTACCTGTGAGTTGGAACCTACTCCACAGTAGTGAATGAGCTGTTCTTAAACATTGTGAGTCTCTGTGGTATACCAGTGCTAATGTATTCTCACAGTTGCTTCAGCCCAGGAAAGCTGTGCATTGTTTTTAAATATGTAGAAATTATTGTGATGATTCATTTAGCAAAAAGAGAGGTGAACAGAGAGCTTTCCCATGTACCAAACCTTGTCTATACTGATGTCATCTCTGTACCTAGAGAAAGAACTAAATGTCCTCAATTAAGACAAAAAATACCTTGCATGATGCTGGCACAGTGAGAGGTAGAAATTAACATGATCACCTCCAGACAGCAGAGCGTACCTAGTGGGGGATTTCAGAAAATCTGTGCCCGTGGAGGAAGTAGCTCTAATGATAACAAGAATGACAGCCACTGCATTAATTGAGTGGATACTATGTGCCAGCCCCTGTTGTAAGAATGTTATACATACTGCCTCATTTACTCCTTAAAACAGCTTTCCGCAGTATGCACTGTCCCGTTGAGAAAGGAGAAAGCAAAGGCACAGAGATGTTGAGTAGCGACCTTGCATTGGGAAGGTAAAAAAATGTCCATTGAGTTGATAACAACTCCTAGTGACCCTTTGGATTGGAGCAGAGTTGCCCCATAGGGTTTCTAAGGCTATCAATCTTTACAGAAGCAGACTGCCTCATCTTTCTCCTGCTGAGTGGCTGGTGGGTTCAAACCACTAACCTTGTGGCTACCAGACAAATGCTTCAACCACTGTGCCACCAGAGCTCCTTGACCTTGTATTATTAACTTGCTTCCATGGAGTCGATTCCAGCTGATAGCGACCCTCATTAGATTTCCAAGGCAGTAAATCTTTACAGAAGTAGATTACCCCACCTTCCTTCCACAGAGCAGCTGGTGGGTTTGAACCCGTTGATTAGCAGTCAGATGCCTTAGGCACTCCGCCACCAGAGCTCCTTGACCTTGTATTAGGACTACAGAGGCCAGGTTTAGGCCCAGGCAGGCTGCCTTCCAGCCTGTGCTCCTTCCACTCTGCAGACCACCTGTGTTTCAGAATTACCCCAAAGGCCTTTCTGCCTGAAGCTGATTGTGCAGAAATGGAGTTGGGCTAAATCAGGCCTGGATTTGGAAACCCATGTCTATGTTCAACCCTCAATCTCCATCTCTTATTTGGCTCCAGTCTTAGCCTGGTTTCTGAGAGACAGGCCAGGGTCAAGAGCGAGACCCCCAGCAGTGGAAGCCTACCCCCATTATGTGTCGTCTGGCCAGTCCAGGCCTTTACTCTTGGGAGGTCTTTAGATGAGGCACCCTGACTCTTCCTCACCACAGCCCCACCACTCCTCCTTACATTACGTCAGTCCATGCTGACATGACCTGCCTTCTGCCCTGGGGAGCTCTGCGTTTCCGACTCCCCAGCCTAGGTCTTAATTTACAAAGGGAGAACATGAGAAGCCATGTCACTGTCTTAAGAGCTGGTGAAGTGGAGAGAAATTGCTGGATATAGTTGCCGTGGTCTGGGATGTTCCTGCATGCGCATTTCTCAATGGCCGCTCTCTGCTTCAGGTGATGATCGAGAGATGAAAGGACCTTCCCAGTTTGGGTCACTGGGGACATTTGCAAGCCAGGGTCTATTTTTTATTAAGGAAAGGACGATAGTTTTTCCACACACATACTGTTTTCGGAAACAGTTAAGGCCCTAGCTAAGTGTTTCTTTCTCCTAACAGTGAGAGCAAGGCTTCGAGGAAGCTCAGGCTCTGCTACCAGCAAAGAAAAGCATAAAGAAGGCTTTGGCTGGATAGTGCTCCCTCTGAAGAGGGGCTGCCAAACTCCTTCTGCAAGGGCCAGATAGTCAACATTTTAGGCTTTGTGGACCACATAAGTCTCCGTTGCATATTCTTCATCTCCTTGGGTTTTATTCATTTGTTTTTAAACCCATTAAAAATGTAAAAAACCATTCTTAGACCGGGGGCTGCACATGGCCAGGTGCAATATTATGCTGACCTCTGCCTGAAGAAGTAGCAACAATGACAAAGAAATGTAAACCCCTCTCCCAGGCCAGTTCATTCTGCCCTGTTCCAGACACCAGGCAAACGCAGAAAGTGTCCCAGGGGTGACGGGGACACAGGACAGGTGGAGTGAGCCAACGCAAAGGAATCGGGCTCAGAGTGAAGGGGAGCTTCCTAGTCCCACGCCCGTGCTGGCCAAGATGAAACTGTCAGGGGCAGGGAAACTAGATGCTGCCGAGGGAGCAAACAACACAAATACAGAAAAGGTTGACACCTTGTGATGTGTGTAACGAATGTCACTGAACAGTTTGTATAGGAATTGTCAAGTGAGAACCTAACTTACTATGTAAACTTTCACCAAAAACTAAAAAATAGATATATTATTTAAAAAACAAACAAAAGTGCTGGGACCTCTTACCCGAGCTTTGCCCTTTCATGGGGAACTTAGCCACATCTGACTCAGTCCATTTGGCAGTTATTAGGAATTTGACTGTTTGAGAGCAAGTTAGCTGAGGTGACGTTACTCCTCAGTAATGTGTAGAAATGGTTGTAGGTTCCAGTTCATGGTGACGATGTGGACAAGGGGGCCACTAGGACCCCATGCTATAAAATGTGTGATGGAGGAGTGCTGTTTTTCACTGTCTTATTACCTGGCACAATAAATCCAGGTGGTGTGCCAGTCACCAGTAGAGATTATCAAGTCTGAGGACGTAGAATCAACCTTACAAACAGTGGACCTCAATGAGGATGGAGATGCTGCCCCTGAAGCCGCAGAAATGAAACCCAAAAGAGAAGAAAGCACACCGCCAAGAACCTCGTTGATGGCGTTTTTCAGGCAAAGGGTAAGCCACCTGCCTCCGGTTCTGCATAATTGACACACCTAGGGCAGGGCTTCCCCAAGCAAAAGACACAGATCACAGGTGTCATGTGGGTAGTAGGTATGGAATATAAATTGTGCAGGGAGAAACTTCCTTTCCATCCTTCCAATTCAGTCACAGACAAAGTGTCAGTTTCCTGCTAATGGTTTTTAACCCTCACTGATCTCCCTTCCTAACAAAGAAAAGGCTGGTATTGGGTCCAGAGTTTTGGCAAACCACAGCATCTTCTAGAATTTAATATTATCGTTAAGTTTTCATTTTATTTTGCTTGAAGTTTCCTTTTGTTTATGGCAAATTATATAGCTTTTACTGTTACATTAATGATAGGAAGTTTTCTTTGAAAATACAGTTATTTCTATAAAGAACGTAAGGTATATTTTTTTCAAGGCTTCAGTAATAAAGAGTCCAAGTTATATGTTGCCGTGGCAACAATTTTGAAGGTGATACATGAAAGACTCAGATTCGGGCAGAACTCACTTGGAGATCATTGAAATAAGAAAAATGACAAAATAATTTTCTGCTGGTGAAAACGCATCACTTAGCTGGTGAAATTGCTTTACTTTTAACTTGTATAGAGTAAGTAGAAGGAGACGCCCTGGTGGGACAGAGGTTAAGTGCTCAGCTGCTAACCAAAAAATCAGCAGTTCAGCCCCACCAGCCGCTCTGCAGGGGAAAGATGTGGCAGTCTGCTTCTGAAAAGATTACCCAAAACCAAACGCACTGCTGTCAACCCCAGTCTGACTCATAGCAATCCCATAGGACGGGGTGAATCTGCCTCATAGGGTTTCCAAGCCTTTAAATCTCTACAAAAGCAGACTTCCACATTGTTCTCCTAATAGGGCAGATGGTGGGATCGAACCAGTGGCCTTTCAATTAGCAGCCTAGTGCTTTAACCACTGTGCCACTAGTGTTTTTCATAAAGCTGCCAGCCTAGGACACCTTATGGGGCAGTTCGGCTCTGTTGTGTGGGGTGGCCAGGAGTCATAACTTGATGCCAGTGGGTTTAGACAGTGTGTGCAGACACCTCTTGTGCCTGTCTAGAGCCGTGTACATTAAATAGCTAAACACTCCAAAAGAACAAACCAAACTCACTGCTGTTGAGTCCATTCAACTCATAGCAACCCCTCCTTGGGTTTCTGAGGCAGTAGCACTACAGAAAGAGATTGCCCAAACTGCCTTCCGAAGAGTGGCTGATGGGTTTGAACCGCCAGCCTTCTGGTTAGCAGTCAAGTGCCTTAGGTACTACGTCACCAGAGATCCTAGCTAAATGCTCAGAACTTAATAATATAATACAGCAAACTCAAATCAGCTGGAGGGAGGGAAGAAACCTATGCAAAATGCCATTGGTTTAATTCTCTTCTAATGAAAAATAAGAATTTCATTATAGTGAGTTTTTATTTTCAAGAGTATTTGGGGGTTTGATCCTTTGAGAAGGCACCTCTCTCCATTTTCACAGGTGCACCCTGTCAAAGGGGTTCTTTATAGTCCACAAAACAAAGCCAACAGAATCCTTGCCAGTGGGAGCGGAGGCCTGTTGGAGTAGCTGTCAGAGGCTGTTGGCCATCATTTTCTTTCTTGTTAACGTTCTGACGTGCAAGGTAAGCAGTGCACAGCTCGTTTAGCAGGCACGCCACTTGAATGGCTAGTCATTTGGTCTGCAGTTTGAAGCTGAGAGTGGAGATCAAAACTGTGATTTTAAAACGGATGTTTACACAATGTCCGGAAAGAAAAGAATGGCCAGTTTCTGGCAACTCGTCTACGTACCAGTGGGATCCCCACATAGCTCGCCGTGACACTGAGGGTGATCACACTTTCTTGTTTCTGGACAGAGCTGGAAAATACAGACAAAAATGAGAAGGCAGTATGAGTTGTCTTCCAAATAACCAACACGGAGCTTTCTTCATTTGAAAGTGGCAGTGGTGGGGTGCAGGTACAGAGACTCCAGATAAAGTACAAGAAACCTCTGAACCACACACTGCATCCGCCTGAAACAAATCTTTAAATTCCAGTGAGGTCCCATGTTAGGTAAATTCATCCCCCCAAACTCTCTGTGACACGTCGCTGGGCAAAATTCCTTAGCAGTGGAAATGGGAAAGTCTGATTTGTTAGGGGAACAAGAGAGTCCTGTGGAACTGATGCTCTGTCGGACAGGCAGGGTGGGAGAAGTCAGGTTTCCGAAGCAATCCTCAGTGGATCCACAGCCCCAGAGCTTAGCACATCCACTGGGACTACTACCCACTGCAGGAAAAAGGTCGGGCCTGAGAGCCTAATGTTACTCATTCCTTGTAATGTTTAAACACGGCTTCAAGACTTCCATGATGGTTAGAGTTTCCCCTAACGATTCCAGATGTCTTTATCATCCTTGTCATTCATTCTGATTTGTTTTCATTAGAACACTACAATGCCATTGTAATTAATTCAGATACAGAAAAGATGTGGGCTTTCCAGTTTAACACAGTCCCCACCACTCCCTATTGTCATACCCAGCCCAGCTCACTCATTTCTGTCACTGGCATGATCCCATGGATACTTGAGTCCAGAACCTCAGATATAGAACCACCTCATTATTTATTATGACTTCTTTGGATCACATCATCACTCTGATGAACCAATGCTCTATTGATGGATGTTTGGGTTGCATCCAGCTTTTGCAGTTCATTCATTCACTTATTCAGCAAATTATTACTGAGTGCCCACTAAATTCCAGGCATAAGGAGCTCTGGTGATGCAGTGCTTAAGTACTCAGCTGCTAACCAACAGATCAGCAGTTAGACCCTCCCTGCCAGCTACTGGATGAGAAAAAGACGTGGTAGTTGGCTTCCATGTTGTTGTTGTTGTTATGTGCCGTTGAGTCAGACCCAACTCATAGTGACACCTCCTTCTAACCTTCCTTCCGAGGAGTGACTGGTGGATTTGAACTGCCAGCCTTCTGTAGCAGTCAAGTACCTTAGGCACTATGCTACCAGAGCTCCATAAAGATTCAAAAAAAAAAATCACTGCTATCAAGTCGATTCCAATTGATAGTGACCCACATTGGGTTTCCAAGGTGGTTAATCTTTAGGAAATTAGATTGCGTAGTCTTCCAGAGTGGCTGGTGGGTTTGAACTGCCAACCTTCTGGCTACCAGTCAGAATGCCTTAGGCACTCTGCCACCTGGAAACCCTCTGGGGCCGTTCTACTCTGTGCTGTAGGGATGCTGTGAGTCGGAATGGACTCAACGGTGGTGGGTTTGTTTTTCCATTTATTTGTTTAAATTCCAGGCACTAGGGATGCAACAGTGAGCAGACACAGAGCAGAGCTAAGGCGCGAAGGAGATGCTTGCTTTCTCACGGTTGTTACCATCAGGGAGCATGTGCTGCTTACCCTCCAAACAGCACCACAGAGGCTTTACTAACCTGCTTCAGTATCATGGGTACTTGGATGTGTGTCACTTAATACCCCCATAGAACAGATTCCTGGAAGTCAACTTCCTTTTCAGGGGAAAAAAAAAAAATTGCTTTTTGGGAAAACACCATTCTTCTCAGGAAACATTTTTTGGGATCATTTCATGGCTTTTGAGCTAATTTAGACTCTCAGTGTCTGCAGGGAAAACAAACAAACAAAACTACTCCACTACTTTCGAAGAGCTTGGAAATACAGACAGCATCTGGGCCGTCGTGACGGGGGAAATTGAGCCAAATAAGTGAATGCTTCTAAACTGATTTCAGATGTTATGAGCAGTATATGCTTTTTTAAAAACCAATTTTATAGAAGAGAAAACTCAGTTGCAAATGTGTCACCATTGTTTTTCATTCACTTTCTCTATTCCTCGAATCATTGATTTTTCTAACTTCTGTCCTTGACCCAAGGAGCCCTAGTGGTGCAGTGGTTAAAGCGCTCAGCTGCCAACCAAAGGGTGAGTGGTTCAAACCCGCCAGCTGCTCCACAGCAGAAAGTTGTGGCAGTCTGCTTCTGTAAATATTTACAAAAAAAAAATGTGCCTTTGGGTAGATTCCAACTCATAGTGACCCCATTGGTTTTCCAAGGCTATAAATCGTCACAGAAGCAGACTGCCCCATCTTTCTTCCACGGCACGGCTGGTGGGTTTGAACCACTGACATTTTGGTTAGCAGACAGATGCCTTAACCATTACACCACCAGAGCCTAGGAAAACTTACGTGGCAGTTCTACTCTTACTCTGTAGGGTCTCTATGAGTAGGAATCAACTCAGTGACAACGGATTGGGTCTGGTTTTGGCAGCCTTTGCCCCACCTCAATTTCCTTTCAAATAACTCATGTACCCACGAACCAGTGGGAAAGTAAGTGCAGCGAAACCTGTGAGACCTGGAACTCAGCGGGACTGCCTTGTGTCTCCAGGTCTTGGACAGGATGCACTCTTAACCATGCTTCTATCATTCATTTTAGTGGAAAATATTTGTGTTTCCTTCTCAGACAAGTTTCCACCTTACACTAGTTCAGGCTTTCACAGGTTTTACTGTACTGTTTGGAGTTTTTTGTTTTTTTTTTTCCATTAAAGTAACAAAATGCACTGCTATTGCTAAAGAAATCTTTTTCTTTCCAGAAATGAACTTCTCAGAGAAAGAAAAAGAATATAATTTTTCAAAAGAGCTATAATTTCAGGGTAAAAAGTACCAAAGTCATATAAGTACTGGCATTATATTTGACACGCATAGATGTACCATTTCACAAAGAACATATAGGCTCCTACATGAGTTCAAAATAATTGCAAGGAATATCTAAGACATCTGCCATGCCTTAAATAGAACAAGATTTTCATATGTATTAATTCAACTGTATGTCAGAAATTTGGATGTTTGAAGTGCTAGTATATTTTTAAAAAGTGCGTGGGTAGATGAATGTATTCATGTGCCCACAAAGCAGGTAGGCAGATGAAACCATAAAGGTGGTAGATGGCAGACTATAGATGGAGGTTTAGAATCTGTCAATATTAATAACACCTTGCA